TGGGTTACATTTGAGGAACATCTTGGTGATGAGTTGATGCTCAGAATTGTCGTGGATACGACTTGTGATCTCGCGAGTCTTCTTAACATCTAAGAGTATTTCCGTTGTTGACTTTTCGATATCCTGTTCTCGGGCCAGTGACCGGTGAAGGAGCTCCATAGAATTGGCTGATAGAGCCAGGTCAATGCTTTGTTTGTGTCGTGTGAGATCATCGAGCATTTCCTTCACGCCTATGGAGGAGAAGGGCCATTTGAGCTTCCGAATTGAATCCGTTGAATCAAACTCCTTCAATTTCTCATTGATAGCCGATAATATGTCGCGGCAAGCTCCAATGTGATATTCTCGGTACACAGTATCAAACGGTTCATCCTCGAAACTCCTTGCTAACCTTAAGAGGCTATTTAAGGCGCCTCCTAGAAGATTAATCTCCCTCGCAAGAGATTTAATCTCTTCACCAACCTTTTTCACAGACCTGACATATTTCGTCAAGCGGACAAATACAACGTCTGCGAGTGTAATAAGACCAGCAATGCTAGCCGAAATGGATAAAGGATCTGCCATTATGATATGGTGAGCATGGCTTAGGGTAGGTTGTGTCTGTCAAGAGACGGTGGAAATTTTGCATCTAATATAGGTAATACATGTTGAAATATAAGCCTCACTAAGCTAAGGCGTATATCACATTTTTCCTCTAAATCAACAATACAAAGGATCAGAAATCATCATAAGTGCCATGAAACGGGTAAGGCAGACCTGTAGGCAACCTAGGCAATAGAAAACGACTCTGAGAAGAGGGAACAAGGATTGGGCGTAATATGACTGCATGGTACTGCAGAGTGAACTCAAATGTGATATTGAACTTGATAGGCCACGTTTTGGAGTATCCTGCAAGCCTCATATAAAAGGCATGTACACTATTTACTTATCTTAATGCATATTTGGTCCATACACAATTCACACCTTGCAATTACAGTCACTGCAGTCCCAATCAGCCTTGATGGTCAATCTGCCTGCAGACCTACCCTGTTACTGAAGTATGAGCAGCCCAAATAATCGCCTTTCTCCATACCCCATTCAGAAGCCGAAGGGGGAATCTTCCGTTTGTGATGCAGGAGCCTTTAAAAACAGGCACTTCGGCTTTGATACATCATATGTACATGTAGCACAGATTCATACGTGGCAACACCATATTCCATATGTTGGGCTTGGTGTGATTTAAGGCATGTGCCTCGCAAGAAGCCCTAGGTATCCTATGGAGCGGAAGATTTCAGACTTCTTGTTACCCTCAATTTGCACAGCCTTCCCTTGCGACCATTTGTGCCGTGGATATTTGCCAATATCACTTCGCCATGCTGTATTTTCGCACAAGTTGCTCTTCCCATTAGTTGATTTTCAGAGCCGGCATATCCCACTTATTACTTTCTTGTTGCGTAATGCTTTTCGTTATGGTATCAAACCAAGATTCAAGCATAAGTACCTAAGATAACAGATATTACACATATTCGTTTTGTACGATTGGTCATTATTGAAATATGGAGCCATACGACTCTTGTCACCTGTATCTATCTATATATATAGGAGGGCTTCGCCCTCCTATCTAGACCCATCTTGAACCAATACACTTGATCCTATCCTCACATCTTCGTCTCGTCTCAACAGTCATTGGCTGCCCAACTTGGCTTCTGACCTCTAAGGCGGCAAGGGAACATGCAAAGCAACCAAACCCTCCTGTGGGCATCGAACTTGGGATAGATGAGTGGTTCATAGCCTTGTTGGACATTATCCTTCCATGCAATCTTTTCTAGCACTTTCCTTTGGATTTTGATTAGTTGCTATGTTCAAGTACTCTTAGACGTTGAGCTTCAATATTTGCTCACTGAACTGCTTAGTTTCATAACAGACCTCGAAAGTGCAAATACCCCTCGCTAGGTTCTAATCATACAACCTGAACTGCATCAAAATATTGATCAATACACATTATCCGAGGTGTCTAAGCTCATAGGCCCCTTATCAAGGCTTTCCAATTTCATTCTACATTTGATGGAAGGAGTTACTATAGTATATGAACCCCTTCCCCACTCCCATTTGGTGTGTGTGAACTGTTAGAAGCTCGCTCACTATTAGTTAGTACATTAAGCAAGCTAGGAGGAGCTAGGAGATAAGGGGACTATTTATGTACAAAGGAAAATTAACCGCTTGTCCATGTACACGTCTGGTTGAAGCTCCTCGTGTAATAGTCGAGATATCACCTACTCAGCAACGTACTTCTCTTGGTGATATGAGCCGTTTATACAATTATAATATTAACAAGCTTGGACGTATCTGTTCTGTAGAATACCTCTCCCCCTACTCCCCGTACTTGGAAATCCTCGCCCTCCATGGAACCATGCAAATAGCAATCCCCTACAAACTGGTACACCGAGTCCGTCCTGGTTGGCTGTGCGCCCGAGACTGCGCCCGGCTCTCGTGGCCGCAGCACATAGGGGAAGAAGCCTCCAACCAGTGCTACCACAACATCGCCTTCTGATACCCCGCCCTTGATGCGGACCATATTCTCCTGCTGCCCTGGAAACTCCCCACGCAGGGCTTTTTCGTAAGCACGCGCCGCTTTTGGGTCCTTTTTCTTTAGGAAATCCTGGAAACCGCTCATCATCATGCGCGCCATCGGGTCTACGAGCAGGCGGTCAAAGCCCGGGGCGCGGGGCTGACCCTCGGGGCCCTGCTGCGAGGCTTTGACTTCGTCCTCATCGAGCAGGGTGCGGTCGACGCACGCGATGTCCTCCACAGCCGTCATGCCGAATCTGCCTCCATCGGTACGGAAGAAGCGTCGCCCGATCGCGTATTTGCGCAAGAGTGCCTCGTACGGCTGAGCCACACCGCACTGCGGCAACAGAGCTTGGGCCTCTGGGCTGTTGCCGATACGAGCCTGGATTTCGGGGGAGCGGAGCTGGTCGGGAGAGCAGTCTAGGAGCTTCAAAACGCGCTCCTGGGCAACTAAGCTCCGGAAGCTAGCACCCGAGACAGCACTTGGTTGGACGTTCCCAGCCAGTGTGTCTCCATACCCGCCGATATTGAGGATGAGTGTTCTCCAGAAGCGCTCGTCTCTTTGCCCTCCCGTCTCGAAGATTGGGCCTGGGAGCTTTAGGAACTCCTCAACACAGAGCCGGCCGCAGTTGCCGGCGTTGAAAACAGGAGAGACATAAGTCACACGATCAAGGGCGTGCGCCTGCACGTGCAGCGCATTGTCGTCTGAAACCGCGATCGGCTTGATTGGCATGAGAGATTCCCACCATTGGCGAAGACCGTTTTTCGGGTCGTGTTCAGCGCCCTTCGGCGCAGTGGCGCCGAAATCAGGAACCCAGCTCGGCAGGTCCTTCAGCTTCTTGGTGCACGGCACGCGCTCGCCAAACCATAGAAGCAGATCCTGCCGCTCCAGGATAGTGTAACGCGCCGCTTCTGTAAAGACTTGCTGGGCGCTCTTTGTGTAGTCGACGGTGGGCAATGGTTGGGGCCCCAAATGGTGGCTCTTGATGCGATCGGAGGGTGTGGCGATGCGGACCATCGAGAACACGTACTCCCTCACGTCCTTGGCACCACAGTCCCGGGCCGTTTGTATCATAGGGAAGAGCTCTATCGTCTCGCCGAGCCGCCGCCTCCGCTCCGCGAGCTCGATCGAGTTAGCGATCTCAAATCCCTCCCTGACAGTCGGGAGAAGCGGGACCTGGAAGAACTTCGCCTGGAAAAACGGCATGGCACGAGAGGCCGCGATGTAGTTTGACCATTGTATGTTGCTTCGGCCGCAGACTACGATGGCGAGCTTAGCCAGCACAATCTCGGGGATGCACTGGACGGACTTCCAGTACCGCGCCCCAAAGACGTCGTAAATATCACGCCAATGAGCAAAGTCGAATGAATTCAGATCATCAAAGCCACATTCATCCAGCCTATTCCTGAGCGCATCCATCTGCTGCATAGTAATCTGGCTTAATTTGATGTCAGCCGATATACCAACATGCAAGCAAGCCTGGGTCCAGCGGTTGGCCATGTCATGGATCGTGCCGAACACCGTGGTGGTGGATTCTTTGCCGGGGCCTATCCAACACAAAGTTCTCTCCGCGTTCTCAAGTATCCGGCGAATCACGGCTGCCTGCGCGCTACGTTCCTCGACAGTGCGTCCGACGAGCAAGTCCGCCCATAACGTTCGAGGCTTCTCTTTACGACGAAACGTGCGCAGAGCACTTTCCAGCGCTTTAGGGACGTCCCGATCATCACCATCGACCGAGATGGATACCGTATCTGTGTCTTCTGTGTGGTCATAGGAGATGCATTCGTACGATGTGTCTGCTAGATTTGCTTCTGTGACTGCAATCTTTATCGGGGCATCACGGTCACTAGCAGCCTGCAAGACGGCCAATCGCGCTATTGTAGGTTGTTGTTGCTGGCGAAAAAGCCGAGAAAGGGGGTTCGGGCTCGCCATGATGAAGTGTCTAGACTGACCTGTCCAACAAAAGGTTTTCGTAGCAAATTGTTGAAGTCGCCTTGATGAATGCAGCAGCATCTTATATGGATATGCGTGTGTTAGAAATCGCCTCCATATATATATGCACTCAATGTCTCATGCCATCCTCACGTTCACCTCTGACTTCTAGGTAATAGGTGCCTGCCTGATAATGACTGCCTGCAGCGGGGGAACGTATGGTTTATTTGGGCAGTTAGAGGGGCCTGGTTTTCTGAATGCCATGCGGCGCAGTGATATGTCCTGTAACATACAAATTGAGGCGACGTTCCGCTTGCCGAGCATTGAAATCGTATGAACTAGCACGCCCGCGATCTAGACCTCAAATATGTGTTCTAATCTCGTCTTGGCCCGGCGCTATGGATGGTCTAGCATAAGGGGGAAAGGGGCCGATTTGATTACTTATCGTGGGCTACGACCTATTGCAGGCCACACATTCTTCTCATTTGTACAAGTCTGCGTAAAACAAAGCTGAATGTCGTTTGACCATTCGGTCTAGGGATATGATATTTGTTTTCCATTGAATCATAATGTTTACAAAGGGCCCTGGGTTCAATTCCCAGAATGTCTAGAAATTAAGTTTTTTGCCGTCGCCTGTTAAGAGTTTGCCGAGATTCGCCCAGGGAAAAGAAAAGTTGGCTAGAACTAGGATCAGATTATATCATTATCATCATTTTGAATCTAGCATTATCTATTACCAATAAGTCAATAGAGGGTGCGTGTCTCCCCTCTTAAAATTTTGTCCAGATGTTAGAGAATTTCTGCAAGGTTAGGGAAACAATTTTTGCCTCATTCGATAAACATACATCATGCAATACCATCAGTTACATTTCTCTTAGAAGTCAGCGAACGCTACTAAAAGGAATGGTATAAAGAAAAAGGGGGGTGTTTAAATATATCACTGGGGAGAACATGACTACAATTTCAATTCAATACTGAGGTAATACCTTTCATCTACTTCATAGTAGTTTTTGCTACTTGACCACGTAGAGAGGGCTGTCGATCCATTCGAATCACTTGATATAGTACCATCAAGTCTGATAATTATTTACTGTTCATCCTAGGGCTAACATCGGATGCTTGTCCGACAAGTATGAAATTCTTGTTCAACATGGGAGATTTGAATGTACACACTGGGAAGTAATTACCATGAAAATAATTTAGTCTTCCATCATAAAGATATTCGAATTATCAGTATTCAGTCCAGTCATACTAAAGATCACCCTCATTCGGTAGCTAGATCTCTATATCCGTGGAAAGGTATCTGCGTTGAAGCCCACAATAGCCAATCCCAAAGGGGCAGCAACAGTGAGTTGAATTCACACATGCACAGATACGAGATAAAAAGGCTATTAAGACGAGCCACTTGGTTTTCGTTCACAAAATTATTTTAGAGAAGATGGTTTAGCCAAGTTTTTCCACACGGTGCAGTTGTCTACCGTTTGCTCAAGCAACTATCCGTTTGCTGATGCCGTATTGCCGCGTCTCTGAAAACACTTGAACCGTGTCTAGGATTTGCCTCACTTTCCATTGAGTCACAAGTCATTATAATATCCCTCCACCCAACGGAATATTGCATTACACCTGACAACATCAGGTAAGAGTAATTTACTTGCTCCACATGGACACCCTTCGGAAGGTTCAGGGATGGTAATACCATCTACTAGAAAACACGCAGAATTTGGAGACATCCATAGTTACTGCTTTGAAGTCCCTTGGGAGTATATTTGAAATAAAAGATTTCCACAAGTGCGAGGAATAGGCAAGAGTTGCCGTGTAGGAAAATCGATAGGTATAAGACAGGTACATGTTGCCAAGGGATACAAAGGGGTTGTAGCGTGCAAAAGGCACTATGTCTTAAGTGACTGTAGTTCTAGTTCCTCGCGCAGCGAATACGTTAATATCCCTATACATACCGAGTATATCGTGATAAGGATATGCTTTTATTAATCCGTTTTCACAAGTTAATAGTTGAGGCAGGAATCGCCTGGTTTCATCTTATAAGGATTACCTAGTTAATACCACATTTAGGAAAATATAATATCACGGTATGAAAATATAAAATATAATTTATCACACCTCACTTCCTAATGTGCAGCAAGCACAAAATTGTAGGTTACTGACCTGGTGTGACATATAAGTATTCAATACCTCGTATGTGTAGATACCTGTGGTGTCGCTGCGGCAACTGAAAGCTTTGTGACGAAAGGTAAACACTGTGTTAAACATCATGGCACAGTATTTATGGCTCATTCTTTGACTTAGCCCTTCACACACGGGAACGATGCCCATGAATGACCCCTTTCGTGGGTACTTGCCGGGGTAACCGTACCTTTCCCTCACAAAGCCGACTTTGAATTTTTTCGTTTGGATGCCTGATTACATCTCACTCGAAAGGAGGTTGCTTACCACACAGGCATCGATATTTTACGGACTCAGTACCGGTCGATTGCTTCAAAAAGGAACTATCCCATCGTCCCTCCATCCTTTCCTCTGGGCCCTGTCACATTTTTTTTTCAACTGACTCTAAGATCTGACTCTCTCATACGTGCCCTACAGGCTGACCCCTCTTCTGGTCCTCCATCAAGATGCTGACCTCTGCTGCGATCAACATAATACAATTTTTCTACCCTATTGGGAACACACCCGCTGTGTCGCTGACCCAGGCAATTCCGCCCTATGTCCCGACCAACATTCTACTCCTCGGCTGTGGTGATGTATGGAACATCTTATTCACTAGCCACGTGGATGGTAATTTCCCATTGGAAGTTTTGGAATGCTTGAAAGTTAACTTTTACAAGGCCGGCGCATGGATATTACCTGTTGCGATCTACAGAGGGCTGTCATTGGTATGCTACACTCCCATAGTACAAGGGTCATCTGCTAATATCACGCATCCTAGCTCGCAATGTCCTTCTCCTGTCTCTCATAATCGACGAGAAAGATAAGGATATCGATTCGATGTGGAATATCTACTACCATCTTTACCTTGACGATAAATCCCTAGATCTTCTTCGCTTGCAGGCCAAGAAGCTATATGAAGCCTCGGAGACTATGGACACCTGGCAGCAGAGTAGATATGGATCCCAGTTCAAGATCTGCGACTCGGCAACTCTTGCTGAGATCCGAAAGATGTGGAAGCTATACAAACCCGAGAATAAAGGGAGGGCTGAAGAATCGAGGTTCAAACACCGTTTTGAAGCAATCATCCAAGAAGCGAAGCAGGCCAAGGATGAGAAAGGCATCGGATCTATCTTGACCAGTACCAGATCAACTTCTCCGGTTCACATCGGACAGTTGAAAGACCTCGATGATCTCCATAAGCATTACTGGAATCACGGGAGCATGACGCTGAATTCGAAAAAGCGAGCGAGCGAAAAGCATCCCAATCCTATGATGCTGACATTGGAGGACGATGCGACGATCCACTACGTGACTGACCCTTTACTGGGTTTCCATCTCGCTGCTGCATACGCACCGCTACAGCCAAACAGTCCACTGTATGTCCAGATCAATGGGCTCTACTCAATAGAGCGTGTCGTAGCTGTTGCTCAGTTGGAATTCCGCGAGTGGGTAAAGTCATTCAGAAAGAACTCTGCGAACATAACGATTCGATTCTTCGTTGGAGATGCCGTCTCATTCGCACATACGCTCCAGTACAAGCGCATTACCGGAGCTAACACCGCCAACTGGCCCCGAGACCAGTACCACCTCAAGCCGCTTATGCTAGACGGTGTTGACTACAAATCAGGAGTCGCTCCTTTGGCCTTCGACGTGATTGACACGTCGAACCTCTGCGACCACCTAGGCTCGCTGGTGCTCTTGACTGCTGCATCACCACTGCTGTGTAATAATCTGTCCTCCATTTTATATACGGAGGCCTTTGTCACGACGCATAACTCACATGATGAGACACTGAAAAATATGCTGTGTGGTCACGTCCCAACCCTGTCTACTCTCATCGGCCTATTTCCAACAGAGTACTGGACTAACACTTCGTCCTTATCAGCCGGAGACGAAGCATTGGTCGATTTACTTATGGCAAACTCAAAAGCGCAACAGCCATATCTTCGGGTTTGTTGGAAGCGACCTCTCAACATTGCCGGATCTCTCGGGCCTTCATCTGGATTGATACCTATCCAGTTTGACACAGGCGAGCTGGCCTCCGTCTTATACCACGTCTATCTTCACATGTTCCGCACCGAAGATTTTGAATATTTGCTCTCCTTCACTAGTCTTAATGTTGTGAGGAAGAGTTCCCTCGTCTGGTACCATCGAGCCGGCTTCGTTTCTTTTCTCCGTCTCGTCAAGACCAGGGTATCTTGCGACTGGGACGAAACGATGTTAGCGCTTCTAAGTCTCGTCGAAAGCAGACCTAGAGCCCCCATGGGCATGAATTACATACAAGAGCTATTTATCTACATGCACATGCTAGACGTTTTCTCATTCGGCATTTTAAAAGAATGGCACAACCGCCACCAGTGGGCCCAGGGGCCTGGTAGACTACCTGACCGGAAATGGGAAGATATCCGCGACTGGTCCAACATGCCACCTATTGTCTGCGTCACGCTAAATATTCCAAGACAGAAACTCTCTGTATTGACAGACACAAATCGCCAGCAGCTAAGTACACCAACCGTCCATTGTCTCCTTCAAGGAATAGGAAGAAGCACGTGGCAAAACATATCTCCTGCCTGCCAGTTAGCGTTTGGCGACATAACAACCCACGGGGTCCCAAATGATGACTCCTTCAAGGTTACCGTGAAGGAAGATGACCAAGGATGGAAAGGATCCTCCCCGCTGATTGCGTCCTTCTATGCCCCATCTTCCTTCCTCCTGCTGAATCCCCGTGAAACTATGGTGGCTTTTGGCATACACAGCACACCCGCATCCGCTATGGTCTTCAGTTCAAAACTCGGATTGAGTATGAACTTATATGAAACCTGTATTGATAATTCCGCGAACGTCTATATCACCCAACATGGCCCTCATCAGACGGGGTTACCAGTTGCTCCCGGCTTTGCTCAAGCAGATTCGATTATACCGGAAGCCATCGCCCCAGATGCCGACGTGTCCATAGTTGCCAAGGCTTGTCAAGAGACTGGACGCATCGTCATATTGACTGGCCGTTTCGATATCAAGTCTGCTGACTATAAATCTGATCTCAAAGGCGGATGTCAGGTTGAGTCGTCGATACCTTCGCCATATGAGGTAGCAATCCAAATTGGAAAGCAACAGGAAACGCCCCTCAGAATGTACTTCCCGGTTTTTGTGGCTCGAGATCTGAAGAAGACGAGGATTGCCCGCAAGTCTTCCTATATTGAAGCTATTGCACAAGTGGGCACCGATTCCGACTGGATGAAATACCCATACTTTATGTATCCTATCCATCTCGCCAGTGGAAGGCCAGTCAACTGGAATAATCCATACCTTAGCTTACAAGCCTGTCCGATCATTGACATTAAGCAACGCAACAAGCTGGACTGGTTCAACCCCCATATTGCCACGGCCATGTCCGAAAGGGAGAGGGCATTGCGTGATAATAAGGCATTGCCACGATCCATTGGAGAA